ATTACAAATGGATTCTGATAAAGCAAATCTCAGCATGCTTTGAGAGATCAAAATTTGCAGAGTATAAAAGCATTTAAAAACCAAGTAGGTGGTTAATCATCTTACAAAAAAAAAAAAAAAAAAGAAACGTTTTTGATGCCATGCTCAAAAGACATACATGGATAATAGCAGTACCTTAAATGCCCCCAGTGTTGAGTTGGGTGCTAATATAAATAGGTCGCCTGTTCTCTGTCATTCCACCCTATACAGAGAAGACAGTGTCCCCCAGAGTAACTGCCAAGGCCCTCTGCAAGGTTATTCTGCTGGAAATTGAACTGAGAATTGAAAAAAACTTGGTGTTTTGAAAAGACTTTTGTGGAAAATATATGTATCATTTGTTGGAAATTGGACAGCTTAACTATTGAACTCCAGGGAAAGGAACTGTACGGACACTTTGACTGACTTGGGTAACAAGCAGGTGGTGATTAGATTGGACTTCAGCTTTTGCCTCTCAGCAGGGATGTTTTAATCTTTGCTAGTTAGTAACTAGTGGGGTTTACAGTTAGACCCATATTCTTCATGTTAATCCTCTTCTTTTCAAAAAGCTTCTCAAAGCTGGATTGGTACACACAATGCCAATCACACTGTGGGGTGGGTTTCAGAGATCTTCACACAAACCTATGCTGCGGGCTGCGAATAGCTCAGACACCTCAGCTATCATAGAGTTCAAGATGGAATTTTCTTCCAAGACAAAATTAAAACAAGAAGAAAGCAGATCTCAGCAAGGATTGGAAGCCAACAAGAAGAAGGAAAAAATAAACCAAGTAACATTTCAAGAACTGATATTCTCCAAGTGTCACAAACATATTTAGATTTAATACTCATGTACAGCAATAAAGACTGCTAGGTTAATTCTAAACTAGAGAAAGGACCATGGGCTATCATCTTGTGTTGAGATATTAGAAAATGTGGTTTTTAGATATCAAGAAAAAACCTGAAGTTTGACAAATCATTAATTCAGTGTTAACCAAAGTGGATTCAAATTAATTTTTCTTAACAATATACTTTTCTTGTTGCTTGCTATTTTAACTGCCACCAAGAAAGGAACAATATACAACAAAAACAATTACCAAAAATGTGCATCTCTCATTTTTAGGTTCTGAACATAAATTTATGGCAACTTTAGTATTAGCTTGAGAGTAATAAAGCACGCTTATAATTATCCTGCTGAAAAGATAAAAATTAATTAGCTGTGCTAATGATAAGAAACCCAGCAGCCAAGCTAGGAAAAACACACAAACGGAGAAAGAAAGGAACTTGAAAGAACGGAGAGGAGAAGGGGAAGCCAACATTCAGCCCAGCTGTACGGACAGTAATGGACGAGGCAGTCTTTTCAAGAGTGCATGGAGTGCATCACGCTGGAAATGAGACTACCGAGCGCGCAAAGTCGGCCGAGTTCCTAATTCTCTTCTTCAACTTTGTGATTTGCTAATGTGAAACACATGTCTCCCTTTTGCACCAAGTTCAAATAACTCTGGAATTTCAACCGTGCAGCTCAGCGACTGAACCAGAACAAGGGGAGAACTTGTCAGGATTTAAGAGCTTTCAGCAAAGCCCTTCAATTGCAGCCAGCACCCTATTCCACGGAAGGATATCAATTATAGATAGTGACTTGCTTTAGCAGGCAGTCGGGACTGTCAGACACTAGATAGACAACCATGAAGAATCATGAATCTTTCTATTAACTGTAAGGGGGGAAAAAGAATGGGTCATGGCTATAAATAAGGCAGAGCATCAGAATGGCTTAACACCTTGCCTCTTGGTTGGATGTAGCACAAAAATTCAACTAATTCACAAAATATCATCTCTATAAGGCATGTCAGAGGAATGGAAACAGTTAATGCCTTCCTGGGCCCCTAAAATAGTGGACTTTGCAACTGATATTTATTCCATCTGCCACTGAAGTAATTAGGTGGACTTGAAGTCACTATTTCTTCAATCAACAAAATATAGGACACCTATTCCCTGCCAGGCCACCGCTAATGCTAGGAGATACACTCCGGAGCGCAGGGCTGCGTGTGCGTGCGTCATACAAGGTAAAATCCATTGAGATGCGCAAATTCAGAATTTCTACACTTCAGACAACAAGGGAAAAGGTGGAAAATAGGTGGCCTAAACTGGTAGTTTTATTTATGCTGTTTTAAATTATAATGCTAATGCATTTATTTAAGTTTACTTGGTCAGCTAATTCATCACAGGTTAAAATTAATATTGTGTAGAAAACATTTTGATTTTTCTTTTCATCCTGGTAAGAATCTTTTTCCAACATATTTGAATTTTAAAAATTCTTGTATGTGTATACTCAGGTTTTCTGAAGATAGTTCTGATACTATGGGTAACAAGGGCAGCTTAAGTAGCCTTGCCTAAAAGATAAAAACAGATTTCTCTTTGAAAGCATCATCTAGAATCCTCACCTGTGGGAGTAAGCACATCTGGGATATTATTTCGGCACTGAAAGCGTTCAGTTAGCTAATTCCATACTCAAAAACAAGGCTACTTCACAGCAGGCTCTGAGGAGAATGTAGAAAAGGCTTTTATTCTGTTCCTCTTTTCCAAACAATGGACCCAGGACTGCAGCCCCTGGACCCACAGAGAGGTACCCTCCAAAAGGCATCAAGAGACTGTCAGCCCATAGCAGGATGCTTTACAAGGAGAGCAACCCTGGAAGAACTTTCTCTGCGAGGGCAGCGTTTATACAAATAGTTCTCTTTATGTTGGTTACTCATTTTATCATGAGTATTCTGTCCGTGTCAAATTTTACTTTTTGAGAGTACTTCTCGACATTAAAAACAGTCCCAACTCCCCATTGGCGTTACAATGTCTTTGTGGTTACTATTAAAATAGTTAGCAGAAATAAAGGGCCATGAAGCCAAGGCTTGGCTTAAAAATAACACTTGCATCAAATTAACAAGAACCCGATTCAGTCATGGAAAACTTTAGAAACATATCTTAATTAAAAACATTTGACTTTCTAGGATTTTTGCTGTACTCAGAAATCAATCAAACCTTCTATACCATAACACAGCGCCATGATGAAATGGGGCGTTGGGTTAGTCCCGCAGAGTACCCAGTGTATATGGTCCTCAAGGCCTGGCAAGCTGCACATTCAACAGCACAATATAGAGGTGGGTGAAGGGCTTCAGAAAGCTCATGGAAAATGTGTATTATGAAAAAGTTGCAAGGATTTCAAAATTTTGTACTTTATACAAATAAACAGCTCTAAATCCATTTTTTCACGAACTGTCCGATGTACCCTCAGATTACATCAGATGGGCCAAGCTATGGAAGACATGCTTCAAAAGCTCACGGGGAGAATGAAGTGTGTGAAAGTGATTTTCTAATTTTAAGTGTCTTAGTAGAAGAGCTTACCAAGAACCACAGGCCAATTAGAACTGCAGTTATTATAAAAGAAGATGGACAGTCTGTACACGTACTTAAGCGTGTAGGTATCTGTGTATGTCTGTGCATGTGTAGGTGTCTGCGTGTGTGTTGGGTAGGTGTTTGAGTGTGTCTAGGTAAGTGTGTGTACACGTCGCTGTGTATGTATGTATGTGTTTATGTGTATATATGTAGGTATGTGTGTGCAGGTGTCTGTATGTGTGAGTAGGTGTCTGTCTATAAGTGAATGTATGTGTAGGCATCTGCATTGGTATGTCTGTGTGCTAAGCAGGTGTGTGTGTGTGTGTGTGTGTGTGTGTGTGTATAAGACGACACACCTGTCACGTCAGATTTTCCATCACATGAAAAGGTTAAGAAAATGCAACACCCTTAGGGATTTAGCAGGACCCTGTCCTTTTGCATAAAAGCTGTAGAAACCTGTAGTTTGTGATTTGTGGTGATTTACACGTAGTCCATGTCAGTCGCTCTTGGTCTCCTTTTCTGGGGAGACCTCAATGGCAGGCAGGAAAGGAACAATCTCAGGGAAGCACTGAGCAGGTGTGGGGTTGGGTCAGCTCCTGAGGGCACAGCATTATCAGAAAGAACATACAGCAGAGTGAGTCAGAGACTGCAGTACCTCGTTTGGTAGAAGACGTAGTTTCTGACTGCATTGTGGTTTCCAGAGACATACATCAGAAAACACATTTCAAAATGCATGCAACTTGGGGCCAGTGTTGTGGCTCAACAGGCTAATTCTCCACCTTCAAGTGCCAACATCTGCTAAGGGAGCCAATTTGTATCCCAGTTTTTCCACTTCCAACCCGGTTCCCTACTTGTGGCCTGAGGTTAGCCAAGTCCTTGTACCCATGTGGGAACTCTGCATGAAGTTCCTGCTTGCTGGATTCAGATTAGCTCAGTTCTGGTTATTGCGGCCATGTGGGGAGTGAACCAACGGTTAGAAGATCTTTCCTTCTCTGTCTCTCCTTCTCTCTCTATAAATCTGTCTTTCCAAAACATTAAACAAATCTTTTTTAAAAAAAATGCATGCAACTTTCCTGTGAAACTCTTAACTCTACAGAGTCCAGAGCTGTACTGTGACTTGTGCTGAGCATCTACTGACTTCCTGGAGTACTAATGGGTGCACAGAACAAGGGGAATTTCCCTCGGGTCTGAGGGTTTGGGAGAAGAAGGGAATCTGTCACCTCAACGATTTTTTCTATTGTTGCTGGGTCCAGGAAGGGGACTCAAACTTGGTTAAAAGGTTAATAATAATTCATGTCCAGCTTACTATTACTCAATAACCATCAAAGTCGCTAACTCAAGAGTGTTTTCTGGCTTACAGGATCAGAGTCATTACACTCTCTATTGAAGACTTTATTGAATTTTACACTAAGCTTTAGCTGACTGAACAGGTCAAGCACCGTGGCTCCCAGTTTTCTTTATTCTCAGAAAGTCATAAAGCCCTCTCCAGTTTGCAGCTTGCCTCGCTGAGAAACCTGACTCAGCGCAGGGTCAGAGATGCCGACCCCGGTGGAAAGGGCAGCCTGCTTGGGAAGCCCAGACCCTGCTCACTGCTCACTCACGTGCACAAGCTGCTCCTGGGTGTCGAACTCCCTGGCACAGCCCTCCCAGTGGCAGTTTGTCTCGTAGATGACTTCAGGCTCCTGCTTGCTTTCATCTTTGTCCCCTTCCTCCTTGACAAGGGTTGTTCCTTCTGGCTGTTCCTGCAAGGCCCGGGAGGGAGGGTGGGAAGGGGGCAAACAAGGCAAAAGAAATCAGACTCCATGGGAGGGAAGATGAGAAGAAAGCACAGCCTGATTTTTCCTGTCTTCCTACAAGTGCAATGCAAGTTTTCAGTGAATATAAAACAGAGCCCAAGTCCATCAGCTGGGCTCTCTGACCTGCTCAAGTCAACCACGTGGCATTAGTGATGTGCACTTTCTCAGACTTTTCCAATACGCTTTGTGAGATAGCTCAAAGAAGACTGATGGCACAGACTGGAGGCCAATTTTTGTTGCATTGGAAACAAAGAATTTGTCTAAAAACAAAAAACAAAACAAAAAGCAGATATATGGCAAATGGGATCCATGAAATGAGCAATTCAATTAGATCAAGAAATCTATACCTAAAAGATGGACCTTTTATTTCTGTTGTTTTAATATATTAATTGATTCTTAATTTTTAAGAAAGATTTATTGATTGATTTGAAAAGCAGAGTGACAGAGAAAGAGGGAAAGACACAGAGACATCTTTCATTCAATAGTTCATTTCCCATATAGTCTCAACAGCTAGGTCTGGGCCAGGTTAAGCTAGGGGCCAGGAACTACATCCTGGTCTCCTACATAGGTGATAGGGACCCAAGTTCACGGGCCATTAGCCACCGCTTGACCAGGTGTATTACAGGAAGTCGGATTAGAAGCAGAGTAGCTGGAACTCAAACCAGCACTCGAGTATGGAATGGGCAGCACTGTTATAAAAAGAAGCTTAACTTGCTATACCCAATGCTGGCCCCTATCATTTTAACTGAGGGATATATTTTATGAATTCTTTCAAATCTCTTTTCCTTGCTGTTTAGAAGTTGCAAAAAAAAAAAAAAAAAAAAAAACAAACCACAAACCACATACACATTCTGGAGTTCTCAGGGGGCATAATACCTGAATGGTTTAACCTCTGCTATTCCAGAATACACTATCTGCCCAATGCCAGGAACCCAGAACTGCAGTACCCACATAGTCACTGAGCAGTAACTGGCAAGACAGCTGTGTAGCAAAACTGAGGAGGAGTAATGGGCTCTAAAAATCATGACAGCAACTCAATCCATCCTCAGAACTCTCGTTGGAACAGCCACATTAGAGCCCCATCCAGATGCTGTGGTCATCAAACCCTGGCCCAGATTCTATACGAAGAAAGAAACATTCCTGCAGCTCTTGCTCCTGCGTAGGGAAGGATACCTCCAGGAGATGCTCCTGGGGGCAAAACCACCCGGCAGCAAACAGAAAGGAGGAGGATTTAAGTGAATCTAGATGGGAGTGTCTATATTTCTTCTTGCAGAATTCTGGGGAGAAGAACAGAATCTAACCAGATCGAGGATACTTGTGCCTTGATTCTTCCCGGCGCTCCAAGCTCTCCTGAGCAGGGGGAAATGGCAAAGTAAGAAAAAACAGGACAGCATGGAGAGTGCTAAGACAATTGAAAATTAACCTGCTGTATGACTTAGCTATCTCACTTCTGGGACTATATCCAAAGGAAATGAAATCTGCATATGAGAAAGGGATCTGTAATCCTATATTTACAGAAGCACAATCTACAATAGCAAAGATATAGAACCAATCCAGACGTCCATCAAAAGAGGAGTGGACAAAGAAACTGGGGTATAGCTACTATATGGACTACTATTCAGCCAACCAAATAGTCCCTACTAAAGACCATTATGCTAAGCAAAACAAGTCAATCCTAAAAGGACAAATATTTATGGTCTCTCTGATATAAGGAAGCTTTCATGCAAAATACAAGATCATTAGCCCTTTTAATATTGCTTTTGCTACATCTTAGGGGAGTTGATATTTCTGTTTTTATTTTCATTCATTTAATAAAATGCTTTTGTTTTTCTTACTAATTTCCTCACTAACTCATAAGCCACACAATAGCATCATTTGCTTCAGGAAGGTCTTTGACTTTCTTCTTCACTTTTTCAGTGATACACTGGTCATTCAGTAGCATGTTATCTAACTTCATGTTGTTGTAAATTTTCTATTTTTTCTCTGTTGTTGATTTTGTTTTATGGCTTTTCATTTAAGGGAATGTATAGTAGCTACGTAGTAGAGGCTATCACATACAGAATTGAGGAGACAATGCAGTGTGCATCTCTACTTCCAAATCAAAGATGGAATCCCAATAAAACTGTTGAATGTATCCTGACAACAGTATGCTGGACTCTCTTCCATTTGCCATGCTTACAATGTCAGGATATACTTAAATAATAGAATGATGGACTTACAACTGATGGTGAAGAACTATACTATTGTAATGACATGGCAAAAATTAGTGGAGGAGTGGGAAATCCCAGAGTCTATGGAACTGTATCACTGAATAATAAAATAAGTTAATTTATAAAAAAGAAAAAAACAAGAATATGGTTTGTTTAGGAAACATCACTAGCACTTCCACACCTCCAACGTGGGACTAGGATTTCAAGAATCTAAGCTCAAGTTGAGAAATAAATAGTGAAATCTGCTGTTTCTGATCAGCCAAAGAACGATCCGACTGCTTAACTGGAGTTGTCTGATCTCTTAAGCTGCCTGCCTATGAAGAATGTACACCTCACTCAGCTGTCTGCACTGCCTGTGCCTGTTGCTGAGCCAGAGAAACAAATGCTGTCACTCTATCATTGGCCTCTTGCCAAACACTTTGTAGCCAAGATCAACAAAGTGGCAGACAAGATCATGCTGTGAAAAGATACCAGATCTTGAGAGGGAGTGAGGGAGGAGGGGGCCCAAAATGCCAGTTTGGGGAGGGACAGAAGCTGGCCCAATGACTCTGGCTGTCCTACCTGCTGTCCCCGAGCCCCTGGGCTGGGGAGGTCTTCATCAGGCTTGATCTTGGATCGCTTGTTGTGCATGGGGTCACCTGTGCTGCTCACTGCAGACTCACTTGTGGGCTTGCTCTGCTGGTCACAGATGCAGGGCCAGGAACAGAAAAAGTAAGTTTTGATCAAGGAGTGGGACCATAGTTAAAACCTGTGACTCAAGACAAGCAGGGTTACTTGGCAATAAAACAATGAACCCTCATATCACTCAACCCCATGATATAAGTGTTCAAATAATGTGTTCAAAGCTGCAAATACACTTGTGAGGCAGTTCTTCGAACTCAGGACCTCAATCTCTCCACAGCTTTTTAAAGATCCAGAACAGAAATGGAGTTTCTCAGTGCTACAAACTCCAATGATGTATTTAAAAAAAAGAAAGTTCTGAAGTGTGCATGAGAAAATGACCAAATAAGGACAATGTACTAGCACATTCTGTTAGGATTAGATGGGGCTTATCAATGGTACCCATGTGGGTCAAGGCCTCAGCAAGAAGTCTGTTTTCCCACCCATGAGGAAATAACTCTGGAACCAGAAGCTGCTGGTGGATAAGCAGTGTAGAGACAATACTTTCAACAAAGCTGAAGACTCGTGGCTTTGGAGGACAGGATACCACTGGAAGTCATGGGAGAACTGTCACAGACCCATTGGCAGGGCCCAGATCCACTAATCAACACAGACCTGTTCATCAACTTGTCTCTCACCTGTGAGTTCTCAGAAGGGCCGGAGCTGACCTGGATGGGGTTCAGAACTGTAGGGATCCCTGGAATAGGCCTCTGTGTTGGAAACGTTGGGGCTGGATGGATGAGTGGGGGGCTGTGTCCAAAGGCTGACCCCAAGCTTTGCTGCCGGCTTAAGATCTGCTGATGCATATGGAGGGAGACAGGCGCAGAAGGGTAGGTGAAGCTCAAGGCGGGGCTGCAGGCAGGGAGAGAAAACCAGATAACCATCACTTAGAGACTGCTGCAGGTACGCTGTGTTTGCAGTCTACCATCCCAAATCACAGTCAGACTGTTAAGATGAGAAGGCAGAAATGATTATTGCCAAACATCATGAAAACTTCCAGGAGAAGGATGACTGAGGGGAGACAGACATGCACACATACACACAGGCCTGAGACAGGACTCAGCAAAAGAGAAACACAAGGCATCAGCTCAATAATAACTATTTATTGCAATAACACACTTTATATATATAAAAAAAGAGAATGAGTGACTACATGCTTTATAGGACTTTTATGGGCTCTTAGTTCCATACGTTGCTGTGCATGGAGCAATTCCTTTAATCTTAGCTCACACAGCGCGCTTTCATATGTCTCCAGATCTTATTACAAGAGGAAAGAAAATCAATTGGTTAAATGTGTTTTGAACACCATGCTTGTCATATCACTCATTTGTTTGTAAAGATGGAAAGCTTGGTTCATCCAGAATGCCACCTAAAGGATTTCCATCAGTGCCGTCTGGTTATAGAAGCCGATGGATTAACCTCTCCCACTGAAATCGGTGATCAATGGGCTTCGATGGAGGAATATTCCGATGGGAGAGCACAGCTTGCTCTCTAGCTAAACAGCATTAAATGTCTATTAAAGCCCATTATGCATGCTAATGCCTGTCACCACTTTATTATGCCACAGTATTTCCCAGGCTGCGGGAAGTTCTGAGGGAGCATTGATATCATCTAAAGATTTCTTGACTACCACGCAGTACCAAGTCATTTTTTGTTGCCAGCCTAGTTTAGGCGTCAAATTTTTTCTTAACAGAATGGACTACCCTTGAACATTTTGTCAATGACATAAAAATGCATGAAAAACATTAAAAAAACATTTTTAAGAAAGAATAAAGTTCCGAAGTTTGCAAAAGAAAGTGGCCATTTTCATTTTCCACACAGTGTATATGTGGAACAGAAATGCACTCATGGAATATTTTTATAAAAAATACACACCATACACACATACTGTGTAATACTCAGAAAGAATCAAGGTTTCTTATAGTGTCAAAGGTAGAAGTCACACAAGGTACCAATCTGATGGGTTAATTACTGTTGCTGTTAAGCATATTAATTGAGAATAAAATAATTACAATAACAAAATTCAAAACCATTTCAACAATTTCAAGTAATAATTCCAAAGATATACTCTGCTCATTAATGTGACTCTACACTTTGCCTATTTGACTACAATCCATAAAGGACAGCTTCAATGGGATTATGTGACCATTATTCCTAGAGGACAACCTTACATTACAATAGCTTGCCCATTTAAGACGGAATATCATTAAGAATACCCTAGAATTTCCTTAGGCTTTGAGGAACTCTCCTTTCATTCTGCATTAGATTTCTGTAACAAAGGGAAGCAGAAACACGGTGAAAACAGTCATTGTTCACAGTAAGTTAGGGAGAAATCAGTAATAATATTCCGTTTCGACAGCACTATAGTTTCTGCCAGTGTTTCCAAAAGCAACCATGAATGATTACAGCAAGACTTAGCGAAGGGAGCTGTGGGGATGATTGATAGGGCATTAATCAAAAGATGCATATCTGCCTCGGAATTTGTTCACAAGCTTTCTTCTAATAGCTGATTTCATGTTCACTGAGCTCTATGCCAGTTTGTCCAATTTATTTTTCGGTGTACAAGCCATTCATCAAAAAAACACAAGGATTTAACTACCCCCCTTCCTTTCAGTGAATGAGTATTACTAAGTATAACTACCTTATTCTGTTCATTAAAGAATCGAAAACCAGAAGATCCACCACTTCATGTGCAAATGGAACGTCAGAGACTTTGCTTACACACACACACACACACACACACACACACACACACACACACACACACACACACCTTTGTAGACTTCCAGGAGGCTATACTGTCCAGCAGACCAAGAAAGGGCCGCTGAAGGTCATTATGCATCCAGTTCTGACAGGTACTGTACTGAGGAGTTTACAAAGTCAGCAACTGAGAACCAAGGCGATTAGTATGTCCTCACTTTTATGTATAAGTCACGCATACATAGGAATAGCCAGACATGACAGGGACATTTTTACGGGGCCGTGGGAGAGAAGACAATAATAGGGTCATTCCTTCAGATCATGATCCCCACTCCCCCAATCTCAGGGTATTAGGGAAGGATTCTGGCACACTTTGGAGAGTCACCTTCGGGGGCAGCTTTCTCTCTGATCCAAGGAGGTGATAAAGCTTCTCTAAAATCCACACCCACTAATGCTGGACTGTAAGGGTGTTTCACTATGTTTGTGGAAAACTGAAATTAGAAGTTTACTCTGGCATCAAAGAAAACAGGAAATACATGTCTTATCCAAATGCTCATTTTTTATGACCTTGTAGAAGTTTCTACACAGGCACTTATTTCAATATTTTGTTGCACCAAAACCACACTTTTAATTACATTATTATGAACATGTTGAGCTACCCTGTATGAAAGGAGAAAGAATGCACAAGTGATTTTAGCTTCCATGGCTTATCAGAAATGAACCACAACAGGAACACCCCCTTCTCCACTGGCCGAGTTCTGGGTGATGGGGGGTCTGACAGGCTTTTATGCAGCCTAAAGGAGCTGGCCCAGGTCCTCCTCCGGCTGCTGGCTCCTGTGAGCGGCTCCCAGCAAGGGGCAGCTCTAGGTTACAAAGGCTATTCAAGAAAGTTCTTGGCTCTGCCACACATCACTTAGTGGATATGGGAGTGCAAGCTACTCTGTTCTCAGAATACAGGCTGCAGAGCTCATGGAGTAAGTCTTCCACTGAGAAAGGAAAGAGATCTTGTGATTGCAAGACCTGCAGCCAAAGTGCCCTTTGCATCCAAAAGTGCCACCCACATGTACCTGCAACCCTCTTCTATAAGATAAATGGATAGGAAGAGCCTCCTGAGGGACAGTGGTGGCTGACACACCCAGCTGTGCCTCCTAAGCACAAGCCTGAGTGTAGGGAAGGCACAGCAGAGCAGACTCGTTGGCATCTGCACTGGAGCCCTTGCTCTGTCCTCTTCACTTCCACAGCTCAGTGTGGCTGCAGCTTCCATTCTGTCATTCTGGCTCCAGCTTCAATGACACCTCCTCGGAAGTCTTCTTAGATCAATAACCCCATTGAAACGGACCCCCTCTGCACTGCTCCATGATTCTAGTCTCACCACAGCACACAGTGTTCCCTGAAGCTACATTCTCTCTCCGTCTAGAAGGTCAGGTCCAGGTGAGCTGGACACTGCTGGCTGGCACACAGTAAGGATTTAATATCAAATTCACGAGTAATTATTATTAAGCCTCTTTTGTGTATTATTACTTTCCCATTGATACTCCCCAAATGACTATGAGCTCGGTGGCCTAAAATAGGTCCTACTACTAATTGGCTTACAATTTTGGGAAAGCTGGATGTCTAAAACGGGTGGGCATGCTTGCCTGCTTACAGTGTTTGCATGCTGTGGGCTCTGTCTCTCACATCCTCTGGAGGCTCCCCTTGGGCCCCGGCTCAGGGATCCATAACCCTATGCCCTTCTCTATCACTCTGACCTTCCTCTATCCAAGAAGGACCTATTTTGTGGCCACACCAGGACCATCCTGGTCATTCCATGGAATCTCCTTAAGTTGATTCCATCTGGAGATTTCCTCTGGTATATAAAGTTCAATACAGAGCGGGAGGCAGATGCCTTTGGGCGCCAATGCTTTGCTACTGCCCAAAGAAGGGACATTTCAAAGTAGTAAAATATGCTCTCCTTTGACTGGTGCGATCTGGCAACCGGTCTGTAAAAAACAAGAGGACAAAGCCAGCCTCTAGATTCACTTCCTGCAACAGCACTGTGGCAGCTCAGTAGAAACCTGGGTGATTACCTGTGTTGGAATTTAAACGACAGAGAGGAAGGCAAAAAGGAGGAGGAAGGCAGGCAGGCAGGAAGGGGATATCATTATGTTGTTAGAAATGTTTCTGCAAGTCACATCCAACCTGTGCAAAACTAACTAAAAGCTCAAATTTAAGAAAATTTTTTTTTCTGTGGTTAAAAAAAAAAGACGGAAATATTTCTGTTAGAATCCCTGGTAGGGTAAAATTTTTCTAGATAGTCCAGGTATTAACTCCACAATTTCCTACAAAGCATTAATATTGTTAAACATTTTTACAACTCTCAACGCCCCCTCTAAAGGACACAGTCTGAAGTCTAAAACCCTCTATCCCAACCTGACTGCTTCAACATTTTCACATTTCTGCTCACTTACACTTTCCTTATAAGTCACTTGGAGAGATAATTTCACAAAATTTCCTTTCTTTTAAACAATTAGTTATTTAGAAAAACTTTTTAGTTTCAGCTTCTTTTCTAAATATCTATGTGAAAGATGGACTTAAGAAAAACAAAAATAAACACATGGTTTGTAAGTAATGGTCTGTGTTTAGTTAGTCTGATCAGTACAAGCTATTAGATATTTCAAGTCTTCCTAAGCAATGAGCTATCCTAGTCACACGATCCCTTAGGTAATGGCCCACAGTCAATACCACAGAGTAAAAGACCAGCCCATAGAACTTGGGGAAGCACCCGTGTGGAGCTCTCTCCTGCGAAGATGCACCCATATGTCCTGCCCCCTACACAACTTGCAAGAGAATTTTCAAGAGCATCTTGATACCAGTGTTGCGTGCAACACACTTTGAGAGATGCTTACCTAGGACAAGAAGCTGCTACAAAGCCAAAAACAAATTAATTCAGAAGGAAAAGTTCTCCCATTTTTCAAAGACTTAAGTGATGCAATTCTCCAAGTTGGATCCTTGATGAAAGTTTTATTATTTATTTGTAACCCACTTTGAATGTGTTTTGGTAGGACAATTGTTTTAACAAACCTGCGGTACGTTAATTTGAAGGTTCATTTATTTTGCTAAAGAAACAAGGAGCAAGAGGTAGATTTCAGTTTACTGTACTGAGTGTTTTTACA